GTGACTGTAACATAATCTCTCGACCTCCCATTGCTGCTCAGCGGTTGCGGTTGAGCGCAGCTCCATGGGAACCCACCCGCATGAGCCTGAAATTCCTCCAGACCTGAAGACGCGGGTCAGCACTATTAATTGGGGAGCCCTGCAGCTGTTCCCAGTTGGGTTTTTTTGGTGGCTGTTTAATGGAGGGGGGGCGTCCCCCCCCCCCCCAGTAGGTGCGGGGTTTCCAAATGGTGGGGAAAAATGAGTGCAAACAGAAGGGGCCCGGGGTCTTTGCTCCCCGCCATGGCTGCGGCGCCCGGCGCTGCCCCACGTGCGCTTAGCTGTGCGTGGTCTAGCCTGCCTCCTGGTGAAGCCACCAAGCGGGGACAAGTGACGGGTGTGTGAATTACATCGGGGTGTTTGTGGGTGTAACACAAAAATAACAGCAGCGGGCAGCAAATCTTGAAGCGCCGAGAAACCCGTTTTCTCAGGGACAGAGGCCTGGGCAGTAACGTTAATGGCGGAGTCTTTCTTTGTCACCCACAGGGCTTTGTGGTGGCATTGGAGCTGCTTAGCAGGAGTGCCTGTTCTGGAAAGAAACTCTTCCCCAAACAGCATCACCCCTCTGGCTCCATGGGCGTTTCCAGACGGGCAGGTATTCCCTGTACGCCCCTCTCTATCAGTTCAAGACCCGTTGCTTCTCAATTAAAGAAACAACAAAAAAACTCCCAAACCAACAAAACCCGACCCTATGTCATAATCAAAATGTTAACAGTTCTCTTGATGTGTTTTCCTTACTAACAGACACTTCTGCTGATCCTGGAGAACTGGAATGACACTTTTTTTCAACAGGAGGATGTGAACAGCTTTATTCAGTCCACCAGGTGGCAAGATTAAAAAGCACCAGTCGATTTTATGTGCAGGATTCTGTTCCCAGTGAAATGATGACAAATACAAGCTCGAAGATGAAATAAATTTAAAGAACCGAGAAGTAGCATAAATAAAGCAAAGATGGGTCTTGTTAGCTTAAGATCCTCCTCCTCTTGTGCATAACTCTGAGGAATTCACAATGCCCCAAACAAAAAAATAACTCACAGGAAGATTCTCAGCGGGCATTAGCCTTCAGCAGATGTGGGGTCAGGAGGACATTCAGAGCGAAAGAAAGAAACTCTTCAAACTTATTTACGGCTTTAAATCAAGAAAAATGTTTCAAAGTCTGAAAAGTTCTAAAGAAATAAAAATCGTTCATTGGAAACTCAGGACACGATTAAAACAGAGGTAGCTTTAATGCTGCTTCAGACTGAGGAGTTTAAACTGACATTAAAAACATATGGAGAGTGACTTATGTTCGTCCATTCAGAATAACGCAGTCTTCTGAAAACCCGTGTAAACAACGTACAGCATCTCCACAGGATCTTCCGAACGGATTTGCTGGTAGTCGGTTAGCAATGTCTTCTGATGCTCCATTTCACCAGTTTTGTTATCGTTACCAAGTCTTCCATTTCATTCTTTACTAAGTGAAATCAGAGATGTGAGAGGACTTGAACATCTCTTCTCTAGATGAGGAAACCCTGACAGAATTCATCGAGTAGTTTCTGATTCATCTCACAACAAAATTACGACGACAATATAATTGCCTCTGTGCTGCTCATGCTGCTTCCCAATCTTCTGGCTTCAGACAATTACATGGGTGGCTGCTAGGCCATCCACAAGATGAACTTACCTATCTTAAAAATAAGCTTACTCTAAAGGAAAATAAGGATAGAACAGCATATTGAATTTAAAAATAATTGTAACTGTCCCAGAAAAAGTCTGTTCAAATGGTGCAAGAAATGAGGAGAAGTAGAGGTTTATATAGAAAAATAATTTTTAAATCTTCAGTAACAATGAATTCTTCAGGTTTTTACAGTACTTGTAATCTAAAAATAATCTTCTATTATTCGTGTACGTTTATTTTATAAGTTATTTCCTAGTATACTTTATTAACAGAACTTATATAAAAGCAGAAAATAAAAAGTCAGAAAGATATGAAGAAAACTTCCTATCTGAAGAAACAGATATTGGGCTCTAAAACGTGCTTCTTAATGAGCGTATCTCGTTACTCTGCTCACATAATACCAAACTTTCCAGATAAGAAGTTTGTTTTTCCTTGGGATGTTGTATTCTTTCCATCACTTGACTTTGAAGGCGGGTCCATAGTAATATATCTAATTTGAAAACCACCAGCAGTCACCGAGGCATCTGTCAAAAACTGAGAGGTCATAACATTGCCTGGGACAAGAAAAAGAAAAACAAAGGTTACGTTTTCGGGAGGCATAAAAATGTGGTATTTCAGAGTTATTTTTGAAGTGCTCTTTCTTGCTAGCATCTGAGATCGTTAGAGCGATCCACCTGATCTCTCTACTTCCGAGCTGTGGCCTGGCAGGATTGTAGTTCCATTAGCCCCACGGAAAACCAGGCAGATTTTAATCCATTGTTTGCAGAGCTTGGGGGTTGATAAAGTTTTGCTGTACAGTGCCTTCTGTGAAGCCTTTCTGGTTCTTTAAAACGCTGCTCTGCTTCCCTCTACCTGTGAAACGTCACGCGTCCTGTGTGAGACGCATCCGGCGCAGAGCCTCACTGGTCTGTAGGTGACATGGGGCTGCGGTGGCTACACCACTCTCCCATGAGTGGCTCATCTCCCCCAGGCTGGCGTAAACTGGGAGATCAGGGATGGCACACTTCGCCTTTCCTGTTCTCTTCAGCCTGGAGAAGAGAAGGCTGCGGGGAGACCTGATTACGGCCTTTCAATACCTAAAGGGGGCCCATAGGAAAGAGGGGGAAAATCTTTTTAGTAGGGCCAGCTGTGACAGGACAAGGGGGGATGGTTTTAAACTAAACCAGGGTAGGTTTAGACTGGATCTAAGGAAGAAATTCTTTACAGTGAGGGTGGTGAAACACTGGAACAGGTTGCCCAGAGAGGGGGTGGAGGCCCCATCCCTGGGAACATTCCAGGCCAGGTTGGCCGGGGCTGTGAGCAACCTGATGTGGTTCAAGGTGTCCCTGCTCCTGCAGGGGGGTTGGGCTGGGTGACCTCTGGGGGTCCCTTCCCACCCAAAACATTCCATGATTCTATGATTCTATGATTCCCTTCCTGCTGCTTGCAGCTGGAATGTGGTAACGCGAGTTTCTGCACTGACCATCCACAGGCTCTCCCAGGGAAGGTGGCTGCTTCCTTGTACCGGTGCCTTCGTGACACCGCTGCTACAGCGACTTTGTGAGGCTTGAGCGAAGAGAGGTGAAAGTGGCTTTGATTTACACATCATCAGACCTTGACCCGCTGTTTAAATGGGCGCGCAGAAAAACATCTGTAACCAGCTTTAGAGCTGTTCTTGCAATCCTTGCTCTTGAAATGGGAAAAATTGGTACATGAAGATTGTGCACAGGTTGGGTTCGGAAAAATTGGTGCGTGAAGACTGTGCGCAGGTTGGGCTCGGTCACCAATTACAGATCTGCTGTTTGGAGGTGCCTGTGTGCAAACCCCCTCGCCCACGTGGGTGTGTACTACCCCTGCAAGGCCAGCAGGATGCACCCTGGCTACCTTCTAAGCAGAATTCTTTTCTTGGACATTTATTTAGAAGTGACCGCGTTGATGAAAGAGCATGCTGGCAGTTCTGAACAGCAGTTTTATGACATGCTGGCCGTGAAGCAGAGATTGTGTATTATTAGGAAGTAAAGACAAAAGGCGATTTGGGCTGATTTTTTTTTTTTTTTTACCATAAAGAATGCAAATGTATTACCTGTGCTGATGATATCATCTGGCAGCTCATCTCCACAAAACCTGGGAAAAAAGAAATAGAAATGGTGATGAGTAAACCACAGGGCAGATACGTCGTCGCCCTGCTATGTGGGGTCCTGCACTGAGCGGTGGCGCTCCGGCTGTACTCTCCTTCGGAGCACCACCGCTCAGGGGGCGAAACTGGTTATAGGTATTCAGCGTATGTAATTCTCTCTATACGTTAAAGCAATCGCCTAAAGGATTTTTGTTGTTCTCTTGTAGTAAGAGAAACATTTTTCAATATAGGCAGGAAGTAAATGATGCAAAAGAAGAAAAAGAGCGATTTAACATGGCGTTAAGGAAAAGAACAATGGCCCAAGGCTAAGAAAGGAAGAACATTGTCAGGAAAAACATTTAAAATTATCTGTAAAGGCAAAACAAATGGACTGTATCCTTGCTTTGCTACACATGATTTGTAGAGAGGATGTAAAAAGTGGCAGGAATTGGGAAGTGGCTTTTCTCGCTTTTTCTCATTTATTTTTTGTGCTGGAAAATTGAGGTACTTCTTGCCAAAATATGACTGCTAAAGGACAAGCAAAAACGTTGACATTGAAGAAAAGAAAGAATTAAGCAAAGAGGGAAACTGAATCTACTAAGAGTGATGATATGTAACACTTGTTCTGTTCTGATATTGTTAGGAAATATTTTACTTCTGTAGCAAATAGTAACTTAAATTTTTGCTAACAGTTTAACATCCCACCCCCCTCCTTTCAATTAAAGCAAATACAAAATACCATTTGAGATTGCTGGGAGTTCTTCCTGTAAAATGGTGGAGAATTAAGACAAGCAGCTAACTAAAAAGTCTTGCAGCTTGCTTCCATGTAATTTAACAAAGCAGAAAAGGGCAAAGCGCAATTCTCTGAAACTATTTACAGGCCTGTGCTAGTGACAGCAAATTGTCAGGAAAGATAAGTCAGGTACTTTTGCTACAAGTACCACGGGCATATCAGAGGGGCTAATTGGATAAGGTAATGCAGTGCTCTTCCAAGGTAATGTTCTGGGGACAAAGTTAAATCATTTGATTATTTGCATATTAAAAGCTGGAATTGCTTTACCTGCCCACAAAGCCATTGATATCATCGTAGCTATCATAGATTTCCAAGAAATCAGCCATACAAGCAGTGTCGTCTTCAACATCGAACTCTAGAAACTGTAGATGAATCCGTTGTCCATACTTTACTCTAATATGCCAGTAGCAAATTTGGTCATTTTCATACTCGTTTGGGTAGCCTGGTGACTTAAAAACATGTTTTGAATCTGTGAAGACTCCACCACATTCTTTTCCTAGGGGAGAAATAAAAACATGAGAGTTTAAGTACTCATTCTGGATGTGGCTGTGGGTTAAGCCTTTGTGCTCTTTGACCCAGCAGATCCGTAGAAAATCACACAGGAACACCCAGCACAATAGCACTTTTCATGTATTTATGCACTCAGCATTCACAAGAAACATCACAGCCATTCCTAGCTTTTGGGAGCAGATATTTTGGAAACAAGAGGCATGATCCAAAACTCACTGAACTCAGAGGAAAAGCTTTCATTGACTTCAGCGGACTTCGGGACAGAGCTAAGTGTTTTATGTAAAAGGCATTTGGGGTTTCTGGCGATGTCAAACTCTAAGCCTTACAGCTGTACTTGCAAGTCACCCTGGCATTCAGTTTCATCCTTTCTTCTTCACAAACCTCTTGACAGTGTGTCTTCTACAAAAAAAACTTGTAAAGGCTAGTGATCACATACATTGCACTGTACTCCTGCTACTGCTGCGGCTCTTTGGGACAAAACCCACTCATTCCGGTTCGATTCAGTGGCCGTTTGAACTTCACCAGCTCCCTGACAGTGAGACCAATCAGTCTGGGGACCTCATGCTGCCTGACTTCAGGATTTGTCACAGCTCCCCACGGTCGGGCCTGGGGGAGAGGGAGGTGCTTCCCAGGGGTGATTCGGGGCAGTGAGTTAGGAGCCTTCAGCTGGATAGCGCGATTAACCCTCTCTGGCTGTACGCCGCCCGCGAGCCCTGTACTTTCCAGCTCCAGATCGCTGCTGGGTTGGATGTGCATTTCAAACGTGCAACAGTTCCACAGGTTCCTCTCGACACCTTTAGCACCCTGGAGAAGAGCATAGGCTTGGCTCAATCAAAGATTTGTCTTTGCTCCCCCAGGCTTCTTGTCTCCCACCTGCAGACAGACAGCTCTTGCCAGGCTTTGCAGCAGCCTGGCCATCCTTCAGTGGGAGAGACCCCGCCGAGTGTCGGCAGTTCTGCTTTCCTTTTGTCCCCTAACCAAAGAGTGCTGTTTGGAAAGTTGCTACGTCTCCGCCCGGGGAGGAGAAAGCTGACAGAGGAGAAAGTCGGGCTGAGGGTTCACATGCAGAAATCATGAATGCAGGAGTCTTTCTCGCAGTCCTCTGTGTGTGCTGAACATCTGTGAACGTCCCCCGCCCCGCAGAGCTATTCGATGAACAACTGCCCGGCTTGCATAAACAAGCTCAAGCCCTGTGAGCACAAACAAAATGCACACAGCTGTACAGACGTCACGGACAACTCCAGCTTCTGGCTCTGCCAGGCAGGGCAGTACGTGTGGAGTAGTAGGGGAGCCAAGCAGTGTGCAAAGTTAAGCTTTGCTTTCCTCGTTGGTGCCTACTTTTTCTGTCTTCCCTGCTATATGAAGTGATATCAAGCTAAACTGAAACGGCAGCCACGTCAGTATTTCGGTCATCTGCAGCACAGTGAACGGAGGGGAACGGAGAGATGTCCCGTATCTGGCGAAGTCTTGTCAGTCACATTTGAACCGTGTCCCCGGATCTGCTTTGGAGATCTGCTTTTCTTCATCTGGTTACACATGCGTGCATGCACACGCGTGTGCACGCAGCTGGGAGCTGGGTCTGTCAGGTGCTGCCCCAGACACGGCATGCGTTTTCAAAAGCTGCTCTATCTCAGGCACAAGAAACAAGGAATAAGGGTTAACACTAAATTTAGCCTGTTCACAGGCAAAATATCTGGAAAATGGTTCGCTGTTAAACACCTCAGATCAGTTATTTAAGTGAAATCGTAGGCTAATTGTAAACACACTTCGCACATCACATTGGAAATAGTACTTACCTTTTTTTTTAATCAACAACAGCATATCATGACATTTTTAGTTTCTGAAAGGACTTTGCTTGGGCCTGGTGATATATGGCATAGTGCTGCGCAGAGACGCCGAGCACTGAGCAAGCCAGACCAGCTATAGGTAACAGCAGAGGGGGAGCTCGGT